CCCCCCCATGGTGTGTACTATGGATCCTCTATGTCCCCCCCCATGGTGTGTACTATGGATCCTCTATGTGGCCCCCCCATGTGTGTACTATGGATCCTCTATGTGGCCCCCCCCCCCATGGTGTGTACTATGGATCCTCTATGCCCCCCCCCCCCATGGTGTGTACTATGGATCCTCTATGCCCCCCCGTTGAGTGTCCAGGATGGATGTCTCCTCCCCCCCCATTCTGGCCTCCACATGGCTTCTACGTTCTTGGACCTCAGTGGGACTTCTCAGGCCTGGAAGCGGGGCCAAGTCTTCAGAGTGTTGTAGAAGGTGTTTCCAGGGCACTCGGTGGCCGTGACATTGCGGTGTCCCTTCAGGATGTAGGCGGACTTGATGTAGCCCCTGGTGACCCCACAACTGATGAGGTTCTTGGCGGCATTCTGGGCGGCGGTGGTGGGATTAGTGCCTGAAATACAGGGGCCACAATCAGAGAGACGGAAAATCCACCTGAACCCAACACTCCAACTGCATGGTCACCATGGACACCACCCCCCCCCAAGGTTCCCTCTGATCGATACCCCCGGTTCTCTCTGATCGATACCCCCGGTTCCCTCTGATCAATGCCCCCCCCGGTTCCCTCTGATCGATACCCCCGGTTCCCTCTGATCAATACCCCCTGGTTCTCTCTCATCAATACCCCCGGTTCCCTCTCATCAATACCCCCGGTTCCCTCTGATCGATACCCCCCCCGGTTCCCTCTGATCGATACCCCCCGGTTCCCTCTGATCAATACCCCCTGGTTCTCTCTCATCAATACCCCCGGTTCCCTCTGATCGATACCCCCGGTTCCCTCTGATCCATACCCCCGGTTCCCTCTGATCCATACCCCCGGTTCCCTCTGATCCATACCCCCGGTTCCCTCTGATCCATACCCCCGGTTCCCTCTGATCAATACCCCCGGTTCCCTCTGATCCATACCCCCGGTTCCCTCTGATCGATACCCCCGGTTCCCTCTGATCCATACCCCCGGTTCCCTCTGATCCATACCCCCGGTTCCCTCTGATCGATACACCCGGTTCCCTCTGATCCATACCCCGGGTTCCCTCTGATCCATACCCCCGGTTCCCTCTGATCCATACCCCCGGTTCCCTCTGATCCATACCCCCGGTTCCCTCTGATCCATACCCCCGGTTCCCTCTGATCGATACCGCCGCTTCCCTCTGATCGATACCGCCGGTTCCCTCTGATCGATACCGCCGGTTCCCTCTGATCGATACCACCGCCGGTTCCCTGTGATCCATACCCCCGGTTCTCTGTGATCGATACCCCCGGTTCCCTCTGATCGATACCCCCGGTTCCCTCTGATCGATACCCCCGGTTCCCTCTGATCCATACCCCCCGTTCCCTCTGATCGATACTCCCGGTTCCCTCTGATCGATACCCCCGGTTCTCTGTGATCGATACCCCCGTTCCCTCTGATCGATACCCCCGGTTCCCTCTGATCGATACCCCCGGTTCCCTCTGATCCATACCGCCGGTTCCCTCTGATCCATACCCCCGGTTCCCTCTGATCCATACCGCCGGTTCCCTCTGATCGATACCCCCGTTCTCTGTGATCGATACCCCCGGTTCCCTCTGATCGATACCCCCGGTTCCCTCTGATCGATACCCCGCCGGTTCCCTCTGATCCATACCGCCGGTTCCCTCTGATCGATACCCCCCGGTTCCCTCTGATCCATACCCCCGGTTCTCTGTGATCGATACCCCCGGTTCCCTCTGATCGATACCCCCGGTTCCCTCTGATCGATACCCCCGGTTCCCTCTGATCGATACCCCCGGTTCCCTCTGATCGATACCCCCGGTTCCCTCTGATCGATACCCCCGGTTCCCTGTGATCCATACCCCCGGTTCCCTCTGATCCATACCCCCGGTTCCCTGTGATCCATACCCCCGGTTCCCTCTGATCGATACCCCCGGTTCCCTCTGCTCTCACCAATGCCTCCCTCTGGGTTGGGTTGGTGGATGACCACATGTGATGGAAGATCTCGCTCCCCTCCCCCCCAGGATCTTCCTCCTCCACTTACTTGTGAAAGTTCCAATCAGGTTGATGCCGATGGAGTTGGAGTTGTAGTTGGGGGCGTGAGCTCCCACCGAGGTCCAACCACGGCCCTCGAATATGCTGCCGTCTCCTCCAACCAGGAAGCTGCAGACAGAGAGGAGGGTCATTAGCAGAGCCCGGACCCTCAGAACCCGGCCCCTCAGAGCCCGGCCCCCCAGAGCCCAGACCCCAGAACCCAAACCCCCAAAACTGGACCCCCAGACCCGGACCCCCCAAAACCCAGACCCCCCCAGAGCCGGACCCCCCAGAACCCGGACCCCCAGAACCCAAACCCCCAGAGCCCGGACCCCCCAGAACCCAAACCCCCAGAGCCTGGACCCCCCAGAACCCAGACCCCCAGAACCCAAACCCCCAGAGCCGGACCCCCCAAAACCCAGACCCCCCAGAACCGGTTCCCCCCAGAGCCCAGACCCCCCAGAGCCCGGACCCCCCAGAACCCGGACCCCCCAGAACCCGGACCCCCAGAGCCCAGACCCCCCAGAGCCCAGACCCCCCCGTAGTCCCAGAGCCCCCACCTGTATCCGATGTCACACCAGCCATTGGAGTCCATGTGGTAGCTCTGGATGTTCTTGGTCTGGGTGATACAAGTGGATTGGCTGGAGCAGGAGGAGCCGGCAGTGTGGTGGACGATGACATAGGTGACGGGCGTGGTCATGGCGGTGCGGCAGGTGGCGGCACGTCCTCCCCATTGGGATTTGGTGAGGATGGTGGGGCAGCCTGGGGGACACAAGACTTCTGTTAGTGATTGCCCCATAGCAGGCCTGTCCTGTAATATTACCGCCCCCCCCTGGGAGACTACTCCGACACCAATACCCTGACATGGCCCCCGTCCCCTCTATAATACCCCCCCGGGAAAGGACCCCAACACCAATACCCAGACATGGCCCCCATCCCCTCTATAATACCCCCCCCCACCGTACTATTACCCCCCCCGACACCAATACCCAGACATGGCCCCCATCCCCTCTATAATACCCCCCCCCCGTACTATTACCCCGACACCAATACCCAGACATGGCCCCCATCCCCTCTATAATACCCCCCCCCCGTACTATTACCCCGACACCAATACCCAGACATGGCCCCCATCCCCTCTATAATACCCCCCCCGTACTATTACCCCAACACCAATACACCTACCCAGACATGGCCCCCATCCCCTCTATAATAATGCCCCCCCGTACTATTACCCCGACACCAATACCCAGACATGGCCCCCATCCCCTCTATAATACCCCCCCTGTACTATTACCCCGACACCAATACCCAGACATGGCCCCCATCCCCTCTATAATACCCCCCCTGTACTATTACCCCAACACCAATACCCAGACATGGCCCCCCATCCCCTCTATATATACCCCCCCGTACTATTACCCCGACACCAATACCCAGACATGGCCCCCATCCCCTCTATAATACCCCCCCCTGTACTATTACCCCCAACACCAATACCCAGACATGGCCCCCATCCCCTCTATAATACCCCCCCTGGGAAATGACCCCAACACCAATACCCAGACATGGCCCCCATCCCCTCTATAATACCCCCCCCGCCGTTACTATTACCCCAACACCAATACCCAGACATGGCCCCCTTCCCTCTATAATACCCCCCCTGTACTATTACCCCCAACACCAATACCCAGACATGGCCCCCATCCCCTCTATAATACCCCCCCCCCGCCGTACTATTACCCCAACACCATACCCAGACATGGCCCCCATCCCCTCTATAATACCCCCCCTGTACTATTACCCCAACACCAATACCCAGACATGGCCCCCATCCCCTCTATAATACCCCCCCCGTACTATTACCCCCCAACACCAATACCCAGACATGGCCCCCATCCCCTCTATAATGCCCCCCCGTACTATTACCCCCGACACCAATACCCAGACATGGCCCCCATCCCCTCTATAATACCCCCCCTGTACTATTACCCAACGACAACCAATACCCAGACATGGCCCCCATCCCCTCTATAATACCCCCCCTGTACTATTACCCCAACACCAATACCCAGACATGGCCCCCATCCCCTCTATAATACCCCCCCGTACTATTACCCCGACACCAATACCCAGACATGGCCCCCATCCCCTCTATAATACCCCCCCTGTACTATTACCCCAACACCAATACCCAGACATGGCCCCCATCCCCTCTATAATACCCCCCCCCGTACTATTACCCCAACACCAATACCCAGACATGGCCCCCATCCCCTCTATAATACCCCCCGCTGTACTATTACCCCAACACCAATACCCAGACATGGCCCCCATCCCCTCTATAATACCCCCCCAAGTGGGAAATGACCCCAACAGCAATACCCAGACATGGCCCCCATCCCCTCTATAATGCCCCCCCCGTACTATTACCCCGACACCAATACCCAGACATGGCCCCCATCCCCTCTATAATACCCCCCCTGTACTATTACCCAAACACCAATACCCAGACATGGCCCCCATCCCCTCTATAATACCCCCCCCCTGTACTATTACCCCAACACCAATACCCAGACATGGCCCCCATCCCCTCTATAATACCCCCCCCCGTACTATTACCCCAACACCAATACCCAGACATGGCCCCCATCCCCTCTATAATACCCCCCCCCCTGTACTATTACCCCAACACCAATACCCAGACATGGCCCCCATCCCCTCTATAATACCCCCCCGTACTATTACCCCAACACCAATACCCAGTACATGGCCCCCATCCCCTCTATAATGCCCCCCCCGTACTATTACCCCAACACCAATACCCAGACATGGCCCCCATCCCCTCTATAATGCCCCCCCCGTACTATTACCCCGACACCAATACCCAGACATGGCCCCCATCCTCTCTATAATACCCCCCCGTACTATTACCCCAACACCAATACCCAGACATGGCCCCCATCCCCTCTATAATACCCCCCCTGTACTATTACCCCGACACCAATACCCAGACATGGCCCCCATCCTCTCTATAATACCCCCCCGTAACTATTACCCCAACACCAATACCCAGACATGGCCCCCATCCCCTCTATAATGCCCCCCCCCGTACTATTACCCCAACACCAATACCCAGACATGGCCCCCATCCCCTCTATAATACCCCCCCCGTACTATTACCCCAACACCAATACCCAGACATGGCCCCCATCCCCTCTATAATACCCCCCCTGTACTATTACCCCAATACCCAGACATGGCCCCCATCCCCTCTATAATACCCCCCTTACTATTACCCCGACACCAATACCCAGACATGGCCCCCATCCCCTCTCTAATACCCCCCCCCCCCCAGGTATGATGCTAAGTACCCATTGTCTGCACATTGATAGGAAAGGGGCGTCTTCCTCTCAGCCCCGGCCCGGTGGTGGTTGTTGGGGCTGATCTGAATCTTGAAGCCCCTTTGGTAATGAAGGGGTCACCCGGACCCCGGCCCACCCTATGTGAGCGAGGAGGGGGGGGGTGCGGGGGAAACACGCACTCCCTGAAAAGTCCTGTAACCCCTCACCCTCCGGAAGGTTTGCCCCCTTCATGACCAGGACATCTCTTTGATATTCAGCACTGTGCTGCTTCATCTGGTAATTGGGCGGTCATGCAACACTGCGTGCGTCATGTCATGTGTGGTGTCATGTGTGGTGTCATCTGTGGTGTCATCTGTAGTGTCATGTGGTGTCATGTGTGGTGTCATCTGTAGTGTCATCTGTAGTGTCATCTGTAGTGTCGTGTGGTGTTTGTGTGGTGTCATCTGTAGTGTCATTTGTGGTGTCATCTGTTTGTCATGTGGTGTGGTGTTCATGTGTGGTGTCATCTGTAGTGTCATGTGGTGTCATCTGTAGTGTCATGTGTGGTGTCATGTGTGGTGTGGGTTTTTCATGTGTTTTTGTCATGTGTGGTGTCATTTGTAGTGTCGTGTGGTGTTTTGTGTGGTGTTTTGGTGTCATGTTTTGTTTGTGGATGTTTTTTTTGTTGTGTTTTTGTGTGGTGTGGTGTGTGTGTGTTGTTTTGTGTGCTTGGTGTTTGTGTGCTGTGGTGTCATGTGTGTTTTTTTGTGTGTTGTTTTTGTTTTGTGTGGTGTTTTGTTTTTGTGTTTTTTTTGTTTGTGTTTGTGGTGTTTTTGTGTGGTTGTTTGTTTTTGTGGGTTTTGTGTGCTGTGGGTTGTCATGTGTTTGTTTTGTTTTGTGTGTTGTGGTGTTTTGTTTTTGTTTGTGGTGTCATGTTGTTTTTTTTTGTTTGTGTGTTTTTTTTTGTTTGTTTTTTGTGTGTGGTGTTTTTGTGTGGTGTGTTTGTTTTTTTTTTTTGTTTGTTTTGTTGTTTTTTGTGGTTTTGTGTTTGTGTGTTGTTTTTTGTTTGTGGTTTTTTGTTTTTGTTTGTTGTTTGTTTTTTTGTTTGTGTTTGTTTTGTGTTTTTTTGGTGTTTTTGTTTTGTGGTTTTGTTTTTTTTTTTGTTTTTTGTTTGTTTTTGTGTTGTTTTTTGTGTTTGTTGTGGTTTTTTTTTTTGTGTGTTTTTTTTTTTTTGTTTGTGTGTTGTTGTGTTTTGTGTGTGTTTTGTGTTTTGTTTGTTTGCTGTGGTTGTTTGTGTTGTTTTGTTTTTTGTTTGGTGTTGTGTTTTGTTTTTTGTTGTGGATGTTGTTGGGTTTTGGGGTTTGGTGTTGTTTTGTTTTGTTTTTTTTTTTTGTGATGTTTGGTGTCCTGTTGGTTTTTTTTTGTTTTTTTTTTTTTTTTTTTTTGTTTGTGTGGTGTTTTGTGGTTTTTTTTTTTTTGTTTTTTTTTTGTTTTGGTTGTTTTTTTTGGTTGTGTTGTTTTTTTTGTGTGGTTTTTTTTTTTTTTGTTTGGTGTTTTGGTGTTTTTTTGGTTTTTTTGTGTTTTTTTGTTTTTTTTTTGTGTTGGGTGTTTTTTTTTTGTTTGTGTTTTTGTGTTTTTTTGTTGTTTTTTTTTTTGGTTTTTTTGTTTTTTTTTGTTGGTTTTTTTTTTTTTTGTGTTTTTGTTTTTGTGTGGTGTTTTTTTTGTTTTTTTTGTTGTTGTTTTTTGTTTTTTTTGTTTTTTTTTTTTGTTTTTTTTTTTTTGGTTTTTTTTTTTTTTTTTTTGTTTTTTTTTTTTTGTTTTTGTGTTTTTTTTTTGTGTTTTGTTTTTGTTTGTGTTGTTGTTTGTTTTGTTGTTTTTTTTTTGTTTTTTTTTTGTGTGTGTTTTTTTTTTGGTTTTTTTTTTTTGTGTTTTGTTTGTTTTTTTTTGTTTTTTTTTTTTTTTTTTTTTTTTTTTTTTTTTTTTTTTTTGTTTTGTTTTTTTTTTTTTTTGGTTTTTGTTTTTTTTTTTTTTTTTTTTGTTTTTTTTTTTTTTTTTTTTTGTTGGTTTTTTGTGGTTTTTTTTTTTTTTTGTTTTTTTTTGTTTGTTGTGTGTGTTGTTGGTGTTTTTGTTTGTTTGTTTTTTTGTTTGTTTGGTTTTTTGTTTGTTTTTGTGTTTTGGTTTTTTTTTTTTTGTTTTTTGTTTTGTTTGGTTTTTTTTTTTTGTTGTTTTTTTTTGTTTTTTTTTTTGTTGGGTGTTTTTGTGTTTTTGTTTTTTTTTTTTTGTTTTTTTTTTTTTTTTTTTTTGTTTTTTTTTTTTTTTTTGTTTTTTTTTTTTTTTGTTTTTTGTTTTTTTTTTGTTTGGGTTTTTGGTTTTTTTTTTTTTTGTTTTTTTTTGGGTTTTTTTTTTGTGGTTTTTTTTTTTTTTGGT